ACAGGTAACTCTGCTTCCAGGGGTCCAACACCCTCTTCCAGCTTTCATACACATTGCACAGCATGGGTACAAATCCATACATGCACACAAAATACACATATTAAAAACCCTGTAAAATTTATAGGGTTTCATTGAAAGAAGGGGTAATTTAATTTTGTTTTCTGATATAGAAGTCATGTATGGTTCCATTTTTAATAACTATACTAAATTAAATAACAGGGATATTTGCTGGTGCCAGCCGGCCAAAATGGACAGTACCTGAAAGGGGGAGTGAGGATTGAAAGAAAGGAAAGGCGACAGAAAAGGTGCTTCTTGGGAGGGCTCACAGTAAATACTGCAGCCTCGATTTATTTCAGTTCTGCCTTTTTATACAGAAGAACTCAATTAGTTACAATTTCTGTATTTCCCCACCTAATCTGAGGGTCAGGGAGTGGTCAGATCAAGTCTTCTTGGATCCTTTTGTTTACCACTAATGCCTCAAGGTCAGGTATTGTGAGGCTCTCCAGAAAACTTCTTCCTCCTGAATGGGCAGGTTAAGTACTGGTTTGCATGACACAAACTCAGTAAATGAGGCTGCTGCAGCTCAATGATTAGCGGCTCCCGACATATCCCCCTTCCTTATATAATTTTAAAACCCCAGATTATGCCTATCTGGGACAGAAGGATCGTGCCTGGCTTAGGTTGTCTTCTGCCAGAGCAAAGACTTACCCGTCATTGGCACGTAGCTTCCATCAGCTACGCCCTGTCTTAGGTTGACTTTGTCCCAGAAGATCTTACCCGTCTTTGACTACCGGCCTCTGTTAGGGGAGGGAGCACAATCTCATATCATGCACAGCTGCCTTGATTTGCCACAGGCATAAACAACTTTACTGCCACCAGGTGAAAACAAAGAGGAGGAAAAGCATGTAAGGAGGCTCTCAGCCTTTTTAGAATATCTGCTGCTGTTTACAGGGTGGAAATGTGGGGAAAAGTTTTTGTTTTTTCTATTACTCTTGGCAATAACACGTTGACATTGGTACAATATCCACTTTGTCCCACAAGCACACAGTACACACCCAGACTTATTTTTGACAAAACAAATAGGCAACCCACTTCCCAATCCAAAATAATCATCAGGCGTTTTGAAGCAGGCTGAGCAATTAACCAAGAGTCATTTACAGTCACTACTATCTCTTTTTTCTTCCACATCATGGGTTGCAATGTTGTGGATCAGGAACATAAGTCCAGTATAATTCAGCCACGATCACTTGCAGGAACATCATCATCAGCCACGTCTGTCTCCTCATCATTCTTTTCCACTTCTTTTTTCTTTGGTGCTCATCCAGCAAACCTCACCAGCCTTTCTGGCAGCCACCTGGCTCCATCAACATCCTGTGGAAAAACACAAACATGCCCTCTTCTCCAAATTAATACAGGGTCAGGGCCATTCCATTGTCCAGTTAAAGGATCCTTCCACCTGACTTGGGCATAGG